TTTTATTGATACGTCCATATCCAGCCCTGTACTTTTACGGGCTGATGCAGAAAAATAAAGAAAATCAATATTTTAATAAATCTAGCACCATGTGAGTTGTGATGGTTCGAGGGATAGTAAGCGTTTGATTCTCTCCCAGTACCAACGAAAATTTTCATTGCAGTTTTTAGTAGTCTATTCAGGTTGTGCTCGCGCGTGTTGCCAGAGATGACACATAGATCTGAGACGTGGTTCTTCACTGGTGGCCGTATGAGGTAGTGAGCTTCCACCGGTATATCAACGAGCTATGGAGACATCTTAATAGAACAATCCATAGTAGAACCAGAGTAGCCGGTATTTCCCAACGGATCAGTAAGTCACTTAACTCGAAAAACCGACATGAGATGGGGAAGAAAGGTTCTCGAGTGGCAACCTCGAACTTACCACTAGATGAAGTGACGACCTGGTTAAAGATGCAGGATGTGGATAGATGGAGATGGCTCAGAATCGTGCATTGTGGCATTCCTTGGGGAGGACCTAGGTTAAGCAGTGGACTTGTGATGGGTTGCAATAATGCTGACGATGACATTTTGGCATTGGACTCTGTCGTGAATTATTAATCAAGATCATAACCTAGATAAACAGGACATTTTTTTAAAGGATAGGGTGACAAACGAGCACACAGTCCTCCTGATGGTAAGTGGTTGCTGTGGCCCATATACATCTGCATCTATCTTCAATAAAGAATCAAAATGCAGATACGTTGTCACCCGTGAGGACTAAGATAGAATGCCTCTTTTTCAGTAAAAAGGGTCTCCCGTTCTCTACACTCACCGCTGGTATTCTGTGAGAGCGTGGTCCTTCCCCGGTCGAGCCGACGCGTTCGTGCTACAACTATACTACTAATATAGCTGCACCACGGCTTTACCACGTACAAATCAGTCTTAAAAAAGTAGATCGATCAAAATGCTTGTTATTCACAACTTGTGCGTAAACTCTTTACGGATAAAGTAAAATTCACGATTAAAGATCACTACAACAAGCAAAATCACAGAGTGTATGTCCACAGCTTTAAAAAGCCTTGTAACTGATTTGAAAAGTTCAACGTGGTTCTAATACTGCATAAATCATGGTTTGGTTGTAGGTATCCTATAAGGACTCTCGAAGCTTACGTTTCGTGAAAAAAGGCGTAATGTCTTCGGCCAATTTTGTCAGTAAACTGTCTTAGATAGTGCAAAAAAGCTGAAATGCTTCTTCATACAAATGTACAGTGGACTTTTTGGCTAGACTCTGATCTTAGTCATTAGGCACGAACAATCGAAGATTACTTGAATACTATGTTTCGTACTTCATAAGAGATAAAGACTTGCCTCCGTCCAGATCTGAGCCCCTTATGGACAGTACGTGAGGACAAGGCCTGCTTAAAACGTTACTCTGACATTGCGTCTCTCAAGAAATCTTTAGAGCTAGCAGTAGCTAAATTCCTCATAACGACAGCGCCTAAATCCATAGATTCGTGGTCAGAGAGCTAGGCTAAGATCAAAGCCAAAAGCGACTACCTTGAAAAAAACTTCAAAACTTGGTTTTAATTGCTTAGAATTTGATAAATATGGTTACATAAGTTTATTATTGTAATATTGTTTCTTTAAAAACGATATGCATACTAATGTATTAAAGAAGTGCACATATTGAACATAGGCTTCTAATTTTCTTTTAATTAAATTATTTTTCGTTTGAAACAAAAGTTATAGATATTTAAAAAAAGAGAAAGGAATTTTAATATTAACTTAGACTATTTAGCTGAAAGTAACATTATAAATTGCTCACAAAGGAGAACGGGATTAATTGCACAAATCCATTTATAGATTTTAAAACGCGCTCCCGGTTTGTGTTTGTAGGTTTTAGCGGGTGCTGGTGCTCTGGTGACCCAGTTCTTCTCTCCCCTCGCTCCTCGCACCTGTTTGAACTCCTGAACCGTGTACCCCCCCGTCCCCTGACATTGACTAGAAGTGCCATTTAGCTCATTGATGGATGAAATTTTCGTAAGACATTTTATATTAGATAATATTTTTTCTTACACATAATTTAACATTTTCGATTTTCGACGTATTACCTGGTGACATTATTAGTATGTAAATTTTGTAAATGTAAATTACATTTTTCTTTTGAATTTTTATTATAACAGTATAGTGCAGCTGTGTTTGCTTTGGTGAGGGACAAGAATTTTAGACCCTTTTTAATGGTAATAAGGAATTCCATTTTAGTCCTCAAGGGTGATATCGGTATTTTGTTCCTTGATTGATGATAAATGTAGGTGTCTGAGCCATGACATATATATACAGTCAGGTGGACTGTGTACTCGTTTGTGACCCTATATTGTGTTTCCAGTAAAAAGGGTATTCGGTGCTCTATGATATTCTGTGAGCGTAGTTCTTCCCCGGTCGAGCCAACCTATTCGTGGTACAATCATAATATAACTACAGCATGGCTCTATCAAGTTTGCAAGTTATTGCCTCAACTGCCATGCTTCGACAGCGGATTGTTGCTCCCAGTATCAAATGTCGTTCACCTTTGACTGCTGGCTGGGTATTGATTAACTGGCATATACGATATACATCCGTGGTAGCTCAGTAGCCAAGCGCTCGTCGAGCTTCCAAGTACACGAGCAACTCGTGTTCGATCCTCGCCGGCACCAATGAATTCGTTAATTGCTATTATAAGTGCTAATTTACCAGGGGCTCGGCGGTAAAGCGAATTTTGCGAGGGAACCTACGAGTCGGAATGTGTACTATATTTCGAAGACATGTGAAAGTACTCAAGAGCCATGCGGTGGACTAATTGTTTCATAACCTTTAACTTTATTTTACATTAGTATAAGAGATGATATTCCATTATCTATTGTATGAGGTCTTTCTGTATTTTCCCATAGAGAACACCGGGTTTAAATAAAGTGGTGAATTCTATTTTGAACACACTTTTATCAGCTTTGTATGTATGTATGTAACTAAATATTTGAATGAGATTTTCATCCCCTTTAAAATGTCGGATTGATTTGAAACTTCGCACACTTATCAAGGACCGTTGACAATGCAATAATTTAAATAGTTTGTCCCATTATCCTTGCCAGGATGACGTGAGGACAACTACGATTTCTGTTTACTTTTATCTACTATTGTCTACTTTTACTCTTCGATAAAGAATCAAAACGCAGGTGCGTTGTCACCCCTGAAAACTAAGATGGAATGCCTCGTTTGCAATAGAAAGGGGCTAGCCTTTTGGCACCATTTGTCATAACATGTAGTCAGTCTCTCGGTACACAGACGGTAGGCGGGTATCCAGACCTTTGTTGTCCACACACCACGCATTCGAAGTCAACGGTTTGATTAGTTTCGTAATGCATACAGCAAAAGAGTGGAATAAGATTTTAATTGGAAGAACAGACAGAAATTCTAGTATTTCTGTCTATTCGTCCGATTAGAATTTTGGTGACTTAAAAACAAGAGTGAATAGGCGCTAAGACAATGCGATTTACCATTTGGGGCTTGATCAGCGCTAACCACCAGGTGGGTTTTTAGTCAAGCGCTACATTGTAATCAGTAAAACAAAAACACGACGTTAATCATAGTATTTAATTACTAGTTATACTAAGGATTAATATAACATTTATATATGTACTATATAACTTATCATCAAACAAACATCGAAGTGCGCACATTATATCAACACAATCGATAATTCAAACGATGCTTCACTTGTAGGGTTTCACGCGTCCGACCGCGCCGCTGACAGATTTTCCCTCCACACTATTTATTCCCCATCTACGTAAATTCAATTTACTCTCTACATTCTGTCCATCCATTTTTAACAATGAAATTTTATAGAACACTTCCATACCATCTACTGAAACTTAGGTTTTTAGTTTTTATTAAATACGTTATATAAAGAAAACACGCGAATCAAAAGAATGCAACTCCTAAAGGAATGATTTATAAAGTGGAATAAGATGGAAGGGGGTGTATTAAAGTTACAGCCTATATACGTCGCACTGCTGGGCACAGGCCTCCTCTCATTTCTGAGAGGGTTTTAGTGCAAGGAATATGCGCTGCCCCAATACTTGTTGGTCAACTTTCACATGTCTTCGATATAATTTTTTTTCTTATTTCTCAGACATCAGCGCTTAAAATTGCAATCAACAATGGCATTGGTGCTGGCGGCTACCATTGTATTAATTTGTAATAATATGTAATTTTTAATACGTGGTAGTACCACCTTTTCTGCCCAGGAATGCGCCAGGTAGGTACCATCCTTTTACCTATACCTGCTGCTAAATAGCAATGCCTGCATTAATGTGCGGCAGCCAGACATGAGAGAGCTTGTACATTTAATTAAAAATACTGGTATATTTAATAATAAATAATTTCAAATTAAAAATTTTGTACAAGCGACTTCAATATAAATTAATAAGAATAACTCAGAAACTATTGATCAGACCTTGATCAAATTTATATGGGACCACATGTGAAGCACCAGCTTTCAAATAAAAAAAGAATCATCAAAATCGGTTAACCCAGGAAAAAGTTATGAGGTAACACACTTAAAAAACAAACATACAGTCGAATTGAGGACCGTCTCCTTTTTGAAGTCGGTAGAAAAGTGTTAGTGTAATTAAACAAGTTGTCTGGCCATCTTAGTCCTCAGAGATGACAAGGCAATTGTAGCCTCCTTTGTTGGAAGCTGGCTGCAGGTGTTCAATGACTGTAGTAGCCGCTTACGTTCCCGTCTTTACTTATCATCTGGTAGACTGTAAGTTCGTTTGTTACTCCATGTTTTATGAAAATATAATTTATGACTCAACCATGAGATTTATTAACTCCAAAATAGGATTGAAGTGTATGAAGTATATTGATAAACATCGAAAAGTGGAGAATATTACCTACGTACTATTAGTATAGGTTTTAGGATGAGATGAAATTAAAAATGTATTATTATTGGCACTAATTCTTAATTTTAATTCTTTACAGATACAAATGACAATGCTCGCCCCGAAGTGGTGGCATTTTGCCCTCACATTACTACTCTTCAGTATTGAAGTGCACACAGCTCCTGTGGCACAGAACTCAGGTAAGTCCTTTGTTTACCAATTTCTCTCGCTGAATCTCATACTTAAATAATAATTACTTATTGAAAGACTGAGGTGGTTTAAAATCTTTTGGTTAAAAGTACTTAATATTTAAAAAAATGATACTTAGAGCAAGAACAATAAGTGGGATATAGCAAATCGAAATATATATATTTTATAGATATTTTTTTGAATGCGGACTAGCCCTAATAAGATGAATGTATTTGCATGTATGAATATGAGTGTATGTGTATATTGGTGTGTATGTATGAATGATATATGTATATTTATGTATTTATTTAATTTTTTCTTTCGTCAAATTAGATCTTTTGCTGCACCACATCTTTTGTGTCTACCTCGACTTGGCCTAATGGTTGACTGGAAGAGTATGTCCTTTGCCATTAAGTCTACTTTGTACAGGAAAGTGTAAATAAATAAACGTACGTACTAAAATGTGTTCTTAACAACATTGTGAGCTCGTGTCATTATTACTATATATGTTTTATCGTTAATGCCCGTTAAATTATCGAGGCAAGTATAAAGAACGATAAGATAATATTTCACGTTCACTAGCTTTGTTATGTAAGGAAATAACAACCTACCGGAATCGTAGGTATCGGAATCCTCAGCGTCTAAATATCGAATGACGCACAATTTCGTGGTCACTTGGAAGAGAAGGCCAAATTGGCCTCTAAAAAGCTTTGCGTGCTCAGCAGAGCGGGATAGTATTTCATGCCGGCACACCGTCTGCAACTTTACAAGGCGCAGGTTCAGCCTCACATGGAATTCTGTACCCATTTCTGGGAGCAACGGCTCCCCAGTGTCAGCTCCTTCCACTTGACTGCATCTAGCGTAGAGCGGCTCGAATCGTCGACGACCGAGTCCTTTCCAATCGACTCCATTCACTGGCGCTGCGAAGAGATGTTGCATCTCTTTGCGTATTCTACCGTACCCATGGTAGATCCACGGGGAGTGCTCAGAGGAATTGTTCAGACTAGTTCCAGCCGCACAATTTCACCATCGCACATCGCCACAAAACTCAAACACAAAACTATAGCTCGGCCGCCAACCAAGGTTTGTCTGAGTGGCGCATGGCCATTCTCCCCTTTCCCCGCGACTCCACCTCGACTGTGGCAGAAAGGGGGAGAGGACACCCTTCCTGCGTCACAGTCCACCAACGCCATCCGGAGTTGGCTAGGCCAGCCCACCGGAGCGGCCATCTCGTGCAATCCCTACACCTTGGGTCAGCCAAGTGGGTTCCTCTTCTCTCGTTCACCGTGCGTTTTCAGGTCACGCCTACTCCCCCCCTCGACACGTCAAGGCGGTTACCTCTTCGGTTGGAAGTTCATGGGACTACCAAGGATAAAAATATACATGTTCTTGGCTCTACCACGAATAAAAAAAATGTTGTCTAGAAATGTATCCTAAATATCATCATCATTACAGTCCCTTACAAGTTTACTTCTGAACACAAGCTTCCTTTAAGGAAAGCTACAAATCACGGTCCTGAGCTACTTGCATCGATCGACATACTGTAGACTAGGTTTTTTTTTATAGGATAGGGTGACAAACGAGCACACAGTCCACTTGATGGTAAGTGGTTGCTGTGGACCATAGACATTTATATCTATCCTCGTTTGCGAATCAAAATGCAGATGCGTTGTCACCCTTGAGGACTAAGATGGAATGCCTCTTTTCCAGTAAAAAGGCCCTCCGGTTCTCTACACTCACCATACAAAACACATCAGTTTTAATCTGCTATTTTACGCTGGTATTCTGTGAGAGCGTGGTCCTTCCCCGGTCGAGTCGACCCATTCGTGCTACAACTATACTACTAATATAGCTGCAGCATGGCTCTACCACGTAAAAAAAGGATCGGTCGAAAGTCGGATGGAAGTGTCGAAATATCGGTCTCTGTCCAATCCTTGTAATAGCGATAATTGCAGAACTTAATTTGGAGTTTGAAGTTGGAATAAATAGAAATTCCAAGAAATTCCTTCGAACTTTTAGACTACAAATTATTTAATTTTTTTTTCGTATAATTAATTGATATTTTACAATTTTAATATGACTTTAAGGTTTCCACAACTTTTGTGTAGACATGTCAAATATAATATAAAGACCGAGTAAAAGGTTAAGAAAAATTGATAAGCAAAGTCTTAGATGGAATATAAATGAATTGTTGTTACGTAAACAGCATTGATAATCTGACATAATACATCCGTTAAGCTTCATCGGAAAAATTTGCGACATGTCTATAAAAATATTTAAAGATGAGTACTTATATAAACTAAACCAACTAGCGATCTGCCCCGGCTTCGCACGGGTGATGGCTTGATCACTTATCGGGATAAAAACTATCCTATTTCTCAAGTTGGACCAAACTGCACAGAGTGTGCAAAATTTCATTGAAATCACTTCAGTAGTTTAGGAGTTCATCGCGGACAAACAACGTGACACGTAATTTTTATATATAAAGATATATAAGCGAAATACTCCCGTCTAACGCATTAGTATCAGCTAGTTATTTTTAAATACATATTGTTACGGTTCTAATAAATAGTTATACTATTTATTAGAACTGTTATTGTGTAGTGACGGTGTAAGAATATCGCCTGGTTAGTATATTACGCGGTGACAGAGGGAAATAAGCCTGGTGATGGGCAGGGGCACCTTCCTGATAATAACTGGAATGAAAAAAAAACAATAAATATAACAGTCCGTCTGCCGAGCATAGCAACTGTGGCAAATATTGCCCCTATGAGGCAATCTTAGAAGAGGCCGGAAGATTTAACAGTGGTAGAGCTACGCGGCAGGTTTTGCTGTCGCACGGATGGGCCGGCTCGAGCCGGGGTGGTACCACGACCTCACAGAAAACCAGCGTGAAGTAGAGGTTTACCCCTGCGTTTCGCTTGGTGAGTGCAGGTGGCCGGAGGCCCTTTTTACTGGAAATGAGGCATTCCATCTTAGTCCTCACGGGTGACAACGCATCTACATTTTGACTTGTAAGAGAGGATGTATGTAGATGTCTATGGGCCGCAGAAACCACTTACCATCAGGTGGACTGTGTGCTCGTTTGTCACCCTTGTCCTATAAAAAAAAAGGCCTATGTTCAATAGTGGACTTTATAGGCTGTAATGATGATGATTGATAAGAAAGGACCTATCAATAAATGCGTACATATTATGTAAACCTTTTTCGCTCGCATATCTTGAGAACAAATCGTTGACTCCAAATTCAATTAGGCAGTTTTTTCTTGTTATATAAAACACAAACTTGATTTATCCATATTAGGTAGACCGAACAGCACCCGCATATTTCTACTTTATATTTTTTATTAATAAAACAAAACACATTTTTAAACAAAAAGTGTTGAAGGCAATAAACCAAATTACTTTGGGGTCTTAAAGCCTAGAGAGTTGCCCTTGTTTCAACTGTTTGAAAATAACAAAGTAAATTGCTTTAGTAACTAATTTTGGTTAAGTGTTTACTCGTCGTGAATGTCGTATTTATAAAATCAAGAGAATGTTCATATCTGAAGGCTAATAAAATAAGATTATCCTGCTGTTATACCCACCTGCCACGGTGAGAGCAAATTTTAACTTAGACATGTCATATGGCGCATTTTTAAAACACATTTTATAAGATTACAAGACCAGGCAGACGTTGTTCCAATAAGAAATCCTTAAATTCCTAATAAAAAATGTTAAGGGTCATTTATCGGGATAAAAACTATCCTATCTCTCAAGTTGGACCAAACTGCACACAGTGTGCAAAGTTTCATTGAAATTAGTTCAGTAGTTTAGGAGTTCATCGCGGACATACAATGTGACACGTAATTTTTTTTATAAAGATAAATCAATATTTTTATAGGGTCTTGTAAAGTGACCCTTGAGCATCTCATTTCACGGATTTCATTTGAATATTTTGTTTTGTCTTTGAAGTTCAATTTAAATTTAATTGAAGTTCAAAGAAGATCAATCCATCCATTACAGCCTATAAAAGTCCACAGATGAACCTATGTTCAGCTCACCTCCCCCATAGATTGCTTCATATGGAAGATTTTGCCAGATTAATTAAATAATTGCAGAATGCCACATTAATTTTGATTCCGTTTGTTATTCCCTGCATATGTATAATTTAAATTTAATTTTAATACTTTAATACGCTGACCCTGGAGAAATTGTGGATAACGGTTCTGATTGTATAATTATTAAGCCTATACATAGTATAGGCTTTAGTAATAATATTGTATTGTACAATTGTTTGTTACTCGGATAAAGAGAAAAAAAAAGAAGAACTAAATCACAACTGGTGATTTAAATAAAAAAAGAAAAGCAAGAAAACCGTAATGAAGTAACGAAAAGCGAATATATTTTTTGTCTAAGTCCAAGAAAAATATTCACTTCTTCTTATATAAAAAGAAAACCTTATAAAAACGTGATAAAGACTACAAAAAAATCCTAACTCATTCTACCAATTATAAATTGTTGCTTTGCTTTGTGTATCAACTTTTTCTACTAGCTGCTCTATGATTTAGTACTACATTTTTTATAGAAGTGAAGTTAACTGACGGTAAGTGGCTATTGCAGTCCGTGGAGAGTTGAAGCCAACTTCAAGCAAAAAGGGCTACAGAAAGAGATGCATCGTCACCCATGAGGATACCTGCTGGAATGCCTCATAGACTAAATTTATTTGTTCTCTATACTCTTCAAACCGTAGTGAGGTTGTTACACCACAATTTTAACATTATATAAATTCATTCATTTATAATAGCTTATCTAAGAACATTGGCCTCCTCCATAGATTTTATAATACAACCGCAAATGCAGTTTTCAACCGACGTCAAAAAAATGAAGAGGTTCTCAATTCGACTGTATTTTTTTCGAGGTGAAGAGAACTTTTTTCTAGGTGAACCGATTATGATGATTCTTTTTTATTTAAATTTTTTATGAAAAATAATTATATAAATTTGATCAAGATCTGACCAGTAATTTTTGAG